TACAACATGTAAAGTGAAAAAAAATAAAGAGCCCTTACACAGGAATAATTCCTCTTCAGCCTGAATTTGACCAGGTGCCTTGAGTTTTGTTTGCCATTGCAGGAGGACTCGTTGGCATAATTTTGGGTTGTGGACCACGTTGCTTGAGCAGACATAAGTGGGTTTCCTCTGTGTGCAGCAGCAGGTGTGGGGAGGCACTCAGGTCACCTCTGTTGCACACAAGTCCAAAAATAACGTTTTCCTCCTTTCCTCTTTTACACGTATCTTGTTTGATTATGAAAGAATTTGTGGTACTCAGAACAACACCCTCATGCAGTATTTTTTTCTTTTTCTTCCTGCTACCCAAGAGTGAAACTAGTAATCTCTCTTGCTGAGCTATGTGTTCATCTCATGTTACAAAATCAGCAGTTTTTTGATTGTATCCAAGACAGATGTCCAGTTCTTTCAGAAAAATCCTTCCTTGCTGTTTTTTAGGACACAAATACAATGAGCTCCGTCTTAATTTTTTTTAATAAGCTCTCCAGATTTATTGGGCCTGTGGATAGGATGTATGTCCTTCAACTCCTTCCCATCCCCAAGAAGCTTCTTTAGGTAGAGCAATATATAGGGCAGTTTTTGACTCTGCTTAGAAGTAAAGAATGGACTGGTCATCAATTTTATTCCTTAAAAGGCCAAGCACCAGTGACATTTGTGTGTCACTTGTGTAGGACAGAGGAAATGGAGAAGGTGGGACATTATTTTCTATGATTGCATTCCTTAATGGATCTGGCCTGGTTTTGTCTCCTCATGTGGCTTCCAAGAATAAAGTTTCCTCTAAAAGGGTGGGACTCAGCCAGTTTCGTTTCAGTGCTGATGGATCAGCACTGAGATACCCAGAGGGGATGAAGAGAGACTCTCAGCCAAATGAAAATGAGACAACAAACATTACAAGTACTTTGCTAACAAAAGCCAAGAAGTGAGAAAGCAGGATCTTGCTTACAAGGGGAAATTCCTGTAGCACACGGTATAACATGTGATCTTTGCCCCTCAGAAACAGAGACCTCAAGAAAAAAATAAAGGACTTGTTTTATTAAGGTGATGGGAAGTTTTTGAAGTTATTTTTTTTTCTCCCCTCTACACATCTGAAGGGGAGAAGGAAATGGGGAGGAGGATGCAGCAACTCCAGACTTGGAGTATATTGTGTTGGCTTGTGGCTGGCTGCCAGGTCACTCAGCCATGCTCTCACCTCCCCTCCTCAGCAGAGTGGGGAGAAAATACTACAAAACTGCTTTGACATAGAGACAAGGAGATCACTCACCAGCCACCATCAGGGACAAAAGACAGGAAATGAGGAAGAGAAATTGATTTCCAATTAAAAATAGAGTAGGATAATGAGACACAAACCCAAAATTAAAACCACTTTCTCTCCACTCAGCCATTTTGCCTAGGCTCAACTTCTCACTTGACTATCCTACCTCCTCTTTCTCCAAGTGTTGCAGGGGGATGGGGAAGGAGGATGGGGTCAGTTTGTAATGCTCTGTTCCTGCTGCCCCTTCCACCTCACGCTCTGCCCCTGTTCCAGCATGGGATCACCCCACAGCTGAAGTTCCTGCTGGGAGCCTGCTCCTGTGTGGGCTCTCCATGGGCTGCAGCTTCCTCAAGACCATGTCCAATTGCTCCAGTGTGGGGTACTCCACGGGCTGCAGGGTGGATCTGCCTCATCATGGTCTGCACCACGGTCTGCTCTGGTGCCTGGGGCACCTCCTGCCCCTCCTTCTTCCCGGGCCTTGGTGCCTGCAGGGCGGTGGCTGTCACGTCTTCTAGCTCCTCCCTCCCAGCTGCAGCTGTGCCACGGAGGATTTGTCTTGGGGGGGTCTCTTGAGCCAGCTCTGCCCAAAATAGCAACAGCTTCTGGTGTCGACGTACAGAGGCCACCACTGCCCTCCTTGTTCCCCAAACCTGGCCTTCTAAACAGAGTACATGTATGCATAATGCTGAGGGATAACATGTAACCTTCCCCGTGGGAGCCCATGAAGCATCCACTGTGAAAAATGTTTATTTTTTTTTTGGTAGATTTAAAAAAGTTTAATAAAAGACAATAAGGAGCAATAAAGCAAAAGGTGACAATGGCCAGGTGCTTGGCATTCTGCCAAGAGCACACTTTAATTTAGAGAACACTTCGTTAAATGTATTAACTTGTTGCATATTTATGGGCCTTCATGCATAATTTAAAATCACTTCCTCCAACCTGTAAATCAACATTTATACTTTTTTATTTTTTTCCTTGTGGCTTTTTCATGTCAGTACACTCCCTGATAATGGAGATTAACTGCTTTTCCTGGAGTTCTGGTGTTTGTCACTTCTGTCTTTATCCAGATAGGATAATTTACGAATGTGAAGAATTTTCTGATTATTTTTTACCGTTCTTTGAGTTAGTTACATAAACAAAAGTTTTTACATCACTATGTTATAGCCCAAGAAAAATATATTTATCACATCGTTATTTATAAGTTTTGTTAATAGCAGAACTAAAAGAAACTACATTCATTTAGCAAAGTTTTTCAACATTATACATATAGCATTCCTTTTAATATTTGCGAAAAGCCAATAATATAATTTATACTTATAACAGCATGAGCACAGCATGTGCTCGGCATCATAGAACTGCTGTGTCGCACGGGGAGCTCAAAAGTGTCTCGGGGTCTGGATCTCTGGGATGTCCCTGTGGGTGCTGGTGATGGCAGTGGAGTGACAGGCTTTTCCCAAGGACGAGTGCCTGGCACACCCTCAGTCCATGGGCTTCTGGGACCGCTGAGTGGGCTCCCCCAGAAACTGCTGGTGAGAGTATCTGGCACATCAGGTGCCATGTGGCAGACACAGCTCTGAGAAGGCTGTCGGGGTGGATCAAGGCAGCAGGGATTTTGCCAGCCCTGCTCTGTGGGGTCTGTAATGGGGAGCCAAAGATGCAAGCCCCTTCTGGGGCCTGCGTGGTACTCAGAGGCCTTGGGCAGCTGAGCTGTTTTCACGGATAGTGAGACACTACAAGTGAACGAGGTACATAAAAAAACAGCCCATGTGTCTCTGCCTGGGTGGCTGTGGTGTTCATGACAATGGCTGGGAGCAACGGGACACCTGGCAGTTGTGGCGAAGCTGTTTCCATGGCCCCTGATGTCTTGGGAATGAGACCTTGATCGAGTTCAGATCTGGGTGCCTTCAGCAGTGTTTGTTTGAAGGCAGCAGTGCTGTGGCATCACTTCTTTTGTGAGCACCATGTGGCATCTGGTGTTCGTGATGACGGCTGGGATTTGGGATGCTGACCGGCCGGTGCAGGGTTCCAGGTAGTCCACGTGAATCCCGTAGCGCAGGGCCCCCGCCAGCACACGGAGTCGCCGCGACAAACACGAAGTGGCGGAACCTGAGCTCATCCCGGGCCGCCATGCCGAGGGCTGAGGGGCCCCGAGGGGCGGTGACGTCACTGCCGCCGGACCCCCGGCCGGTGGCGCCTGCGCGGTGGCGGTGCGGGATGGGGAGCCCGGCGGGCGCTCCCGCCAAGCGCGCGCGGTGCGAGGGGCCCCGCGGCCGCGGCAGCGACCCGCGGCTGTGGGACACGGAGCGGCTCTGCCAGCACCTCTCCCGCTGCGGCGTGGGCGACCCCAGCCTGCTGCGCCGCTTCCGAGGTACGGCGGACCGGGGTCTGGGCTGGAGTCGGGGCTGGGGCCGGGGCCAGGGCCATGTGGCGATGACGCTTCTCTTGCTCCCGCAGAGAGCGGGGTCACCGGGAGGATGCTGCTGGACCTGCCGGCCTGCGCCCCCGAGCTCATCCGCGTCTGGTGAGCGCCGCCCGCGGGGAAAGGGAGCCGAGGCCTAGGAGCTGCCGCTGTACACACGCATGGCCCGGCTCTAGGCCGCGGCCGCCCCAGGCGCCTCGAGCGGAGCTGTGCGGGGCCGAACGCGAGGGAACGGGCTCGGTGGGGCTGATCCCGGACCCTCGGAGTAGTTCCCGTTCCCTGCTCATCCCAGCACAACGACGGCGTGGACGCACGCTGCACAGATAACCATGAGAAGCAAAAAACTCGGTCCTTTAGAAGAGGGTAGCACAGTGAGCTTTGGAGTGTTGCTAGGAGCACAAGGGGTTCTGACGGGAATTTACTTTTCTGCCTGAAGTTGCTGCTGCCCCAACTCTAGGAACGACAGCGGCCCCAGTGTTTGACAGAACGGGAGGTGCTGCTCAGGAAAGGCCGAGTGTCGCTCCCAGGACATTGACAGATCAGCTTTGCAGCAGTTGCTGGGACTTGGCTCTCTGTTGTGCCTACAGGAGCGTGGGCTGCTGTGGAAAAAGAAATAGTGTTGTGTGTCCTGGCAGAATAGGGGCCTGTGAATGAGTGGCCGAGTCCTCGCTGTCATGAGCCCCCACTGCCCTGAGCAGTCCAGAGCAGGCAGGCTGGTAGTGGTCACCTGCCACTAACACAGGGACACTGGATGCTGTTCTAAAGTGTGTAAAGGATTGTTCCCAGCAGTGAGGGAATGACTGGTCCCAAAACCCTTGCAATCTTTCTGGTGGTGAATATGTTTTCTTGCTTTTCAGGAACCGCCAAGATAATTAATCTGTCCTGCTATTCTGTGTGTTGGAAAGGCCCCTTTGCCCATTCTCTTCCTCACTGGGGATTCTCTCTTGCTCCCCTCTACTGGGATGTGAACCTGCTTGCTCACCACATACTTCCTGGTGGTTTTTCATCTTGTAATGTCTTTCTTTTCTTTACTCCTTTGATAACCTTGTTTGTATTGTTTCCTTCAAATCTGTCTCAAAACCCACCTGCTGGCTCCAGCTCTTTGCTGATGTTGTGGTTGGTGGCCCTGAGGTAGGCTGGGGTGTGTAATCTGGCAGGTGCACACAAGTGCAGAGCTGTGCTTTCTGCTGGGGATAAGAGCACTTTGGTGTTGGCTCCTTGGCTGAAAACTCATCAGAGTTCATGCTGTGCTGGGGTTAAAGGGCTCTTCTGCTATTTTATTGAGACATCAGCATGCAAATGGGAGTGGGAATGGGCGGGTGTCTGAGAAGAGAATAAAGAGCTGGTGTGACACAGCAGGACAAGGCAGAAGTGCTGCACTTTTGGACAAGGTAAGATGTGCTGGAGTAAATAAGGTATTTTTGATTTCTCTTTTTGTGGAAGAGCAGTTTAACTGCAGCTGTTTGAAGTGTGCAGATAGAAGTGCTGTGATATAATGGAAGGCAGCTGAAGGCTTGTTTATTGAAGTACCAGGTAATTGCCTGACTGAAATGACAAGCTGGTGTGTAATTTTATTTAGGACTTTTTTTAGGACTATTTAGGAGGCTGGTTTGTTCTAGCAGGGAAGGAGCATCAGGTGTCCAGGACACATTAGACTTGTGCAGGCAGTCTGGGCAGTCAGAGACTGTCTGTCAGTGCGGAGCACAGGCAGCAGGATGGGGTAGCCAGGAGTGTCCTCAGCATGAGATACAGGTGATGGGGGCACACGGCTGTGGAGAGCTCTCAGTTGATGTAGAGAGCAGACGGTGATGGGTTTACAGGCTTGTGGGTTTTCTTTGTATAAGATATTGTTAACTTTGTATAAGTTTACTTCTGTGAGCTCTGACATCTTGTTTCTGTTAAGCTGAAACTGTTGGGAGTTGGATGAAGAAGTGCTCAAGCATTCTGCTTTTTGTAAACATCTCTACTTTGCGCTGAGAACAATTCTTTTGCTGTCCACTGCACACTGCCCTGTAGTAACTTTGATCATTTCTCTGTGACAGGCCACTAAAGAATGCATGCCTTTAGTTCCCCGGGTTCCTAATGTTCGGATGGGAGAGCTGTGGTGCCTGGAGGCAGCACAGTGGGTTTCCCAGGTGTTCTCATGTTGCTGGCAGTGGGTGTTTCATGTGGTGTGTGGTGTGCAGTGTGCTGCATGCTGAACACAGATGATGAGTGGGACTCTCTGGCTGACCCCTTCAGGCACAGGAAAGGGATCTTCTCATCCTTGTGACCTGTGGTATGAAAGAAGGTGTGGACAAAGCAAGGAGAGGAGTGGATAAGGAAGTGCCAGTTGTCACCATTTCCAAGCAGTCAGCAGTGATGCTGCTTTGGCTGTTGGAGGAAATCTGCCTTCCAAGTCCTGGAAAACTACAGTTTCCTATGTTAACAGGATTTGTCTTGTTTGGGGGGGGTCTGACCTTGTAAACTTCAGGTGAAAAATGCCCTGCAGCTGTTTTCTATCTGAAGGAGGACAAAGAGCAGGGAGAGTGGGTGGGCCGTCTGGGCAATTGGTCACACTAAGAACCAGCATGCAGGGTCCAGCCTTTTCCCGATTCTCCTCCCCATCCCACCAGAGCAGCTAGAGGCTGTGTGGGATGGAGTTCCTGTCTGGGGTTAATCCATGCCCGTTTTTCTTGCTGCCCAGTGTGGGGCACAAAGGGTTGTGATTATGACAGATCTGAATAGAGCATATTAAAATATTAATAGTGTGGCCCGCAGAACTAGGGAAGTAATTCTTCCCCTGTGCTGGTTGGGCCACTGCCTGTGCCACACCTTGAGTGTTGTGTCCAGTTCTGGGCCCCTCAATTTAGGGAGGATGGTGAGATGCTGCAGTGTGTCCAGAGAAGGGCAAGAAGGCTGGTAAGGGATCTGGAACTCAAGCCTTATAAGGAGTGGCTGAGGGAGCTGGGGTTGTTTAGCCTGGAGAAAAGGAGGCTCAGCGGTGACCTTATCACTGTCTACAACTCCCTGAACAGAAGGGTGCAGCCAGGTGGGATTGGTCTCTTCTCCTAATCAACAAATGACAGAACAAGACAGTATAAGCTGTGCAAGGGTGAGTTTAGGCTAGACATTAGGAAAAAGTCCTTAACAGGAGTGACTGGGCATTGACATCGGCTGCCCAGGAGGGAAGTGATTAAGAAAAGACTGGATGTCTCACTTAGTGCCATGGTTTAGTTGATAAGGTGATAGGTTGGACCTGATGATCTCAAAAGTCTTTTCCAACCTGGTTAATTCTGCAATTCAGTGTGAAAAATAAGTTGTTAGAAGCATTCATTATATTAGTTTAATAGCTGCTGGTCACAATGTTGATTTCTTTGCTCTCAGAGTTGTATCATGGAACACATGCTGGTCTGGGCATCACCAAGGGTGCTTTTCTTCTTAGAACTGTGGAATGATTTGGGTTGGAACAGACCTTAAGGATCATCTCATTCAGACTCCTGCCATGGGCAGGGACACCTTCTACTGTCCCAGGCTGCTCCAAGCCCCGTCCAGCCTGGCCTTGGACACTTCCAGGGATGGGGTGGCCATAGCTTCTCTGGGCAACCTGTGCCAGGATTTCCCCGCCCTCACAGGGAACAATTTTTTTCCTAACACCCAATCTGACCCTGCCCTCTGTCAGTATAAAACCATTGCATCTTGTCCTGACCGTATCTGCTTATAGAAATACAGCTGCAGAGCAGGGCTCAGAGCACTGCTCAACTCATGACTAAAGTGGATGTATTAGGTTTGGTAGGCCACACGTCCTGGCAAGCTGAGACAGAACCCTGAATGGAGATACAAAAAAGTGTGCTTGGTGTGCTTTGTTTAAGATTAATTATACAAGACCCTATGTGCCTGTGCTAGTCTGTGCAGAGGGTCTGTGTAGAACTCTGATTACGTAATGTTACTTAGAAACACCAATCATGTGGTTGTAATGGGAGGGATCTTGTCTGGACAGCAGGAGATCTTAGCCGAGTATTCACGGAGTCCTCATGGAGGCATGAGTGAATCTCTAACATTCATCCCTTCTTTATTGTATCAAAGCATACGTATTTTATAGGGCTTGTTACAGTGATCACGGGAATCTAGCAAGCATACAATTGGTTATTAAGCATTGTCCACGTATTACGTGTCACTTAGTGATTGGTTTCACGCTCTTTTATGGCATCTTCCCCACCCCTTGGCTCAAGCAGTCTAGCAGCCTAATCTAGTCACGTCCTCTTTACCTATTTGCTACTTTGCTGTACCTTCCCTGCACATCTATTTACTTATTTGTTACCTTAATGTACCTTCCCATCCGATTACTGTTGTTACTTTACTGTACTTTCTCATACAGTCTATTCAGGGATAGCTCAGTGTCATCATTCTCCCAGCCATATATAGGGTTGTGCATAAGAGCCTCAGGGAACATATGTCCCTTTTCTGCCATAATTTCCTCTACATGGTTGTGCTACTTTTAGCTATAGTTTAACAGGTATATATATTGATGAGTGAAATCAATAAATTGGCTTTGTCCTTGCATCAAATGGGGGTCTCGTCTCTTCGTTATGCAAGTGGGGGTCCTGTCTCTGTTGATTGCTGTCATCTGCTCTTATAAAAAGTCCCTCTCCTTCCTTTTCATAGGTCCCCTTAAGGTATTGGAAGGCTTCAGTGAGGCCTCCCTGAAGCCTTCCCTTCCCCAGGCTGAGCAGCCCCAGCTCTCTCAGCCTGTCTGCATAGGAGAGGTGCTCCAGCACTGCCTTGTGACAGTCTGAGCATCAGCTACAGCCCAAGAGCTCCCTGTTAGGGAAAGCAATACCAAGTGGTTGAGTGTAACACTGCTCACCAACAGCTCAAACATCACGTGCCTCTAATATCTTAGGGGTTGTAAATTATTAAAAGATTTGGATGAGAATAGATAGTGCTTCAAGCAGTAATTTTTCCTAGTAGTTGACACTTTACAGTCTTGTTTTCTGTTAAATTTTATGTTGAAAGGCTGATATCAAGCCCATCTCGGTGGTTAACTGCTGGAGAAAAAGTATTTTCTCATGATACTATGCTGTCATAGTGAGGCTGAAACCATTTAGCTCGAGAACAAGGCTTGCAGACAGTAAAAGTAGGGGTGATAGAGCGTATTATCTCTCTCTCCAGACTTGTCCCACCTGTGCTCTTAGGCTGCAGTGGCTACAGCAGAGTATCTGCACTGGAAGTTTAGAGGTGCATTGTGAAGGGGACCTTTAATAATTTATGAAAGATTACAGCAAAATATCTTTGCAAAATAGAATAATCAGTCTCAACAAAATTAGAACATGTTTTAAACTGCAGTGGTTTTGCTGTTGGAGTTGAAATTAATTTATGTAAAATTCAAGTTAATTTGACAAAATTAAACTTTTAATACACAGTTTACTAACTGCAAGAGATTTTTATAAAAATCATTTGTTGTGACTCTGACATTTTAATTTAAGGATGTTTTGCATCCCTAAAAAATGTCAGTTACTCAGATGCTGCATGTTGTCTTTCCCATAAGTTTATAGGGCTCTGGGTGGGTGTGGCCTACACAATTTTTTCATCACTTTTGTGGTGGTTTTATTTCTCAGTTCTGTAAGTGGGAGAAGCACTTACACTGCTCTACAGACATGTTCTGTAGCTATTTGTTTCCTTCCTTCTATACTAGATTTTAGAAGGATAAATGCTTTCAATGTTTTTCTGAAAAAGTTGCAGTTGCAGTCTTCTTCTGTCAAGGAATATCAAAGTAATGTGAACGCACATAAGTAATTCCATATGTATTGCAAATTGTAAATGGAAGTGCACTGCAGACTTTGCTCTCAGCATCTCTTTTTCCTTCCTAGCTGCCCAGCTGAGCGACTGGAAGTGCTGGCGTGCCTGAGACAGCTGCAAGAGCAGCACATGGAGGTGATGAAGGTAACCCATGCTATGGGGACACCATGGCCAGGTCCTGCCCCAAGCCCTGCAAGGGCTCTGCTCCCCCTCTCTGCCTCCCCCCTCTTGGCTAGGTGCTTCCAGCTGGTGCCTTTCATTTGCACAGCAGCAAGCTCTAGGCCCTTGGTAGTGGTGGATTGTGAAAAAACTGCATTAACTAGAAGAAATACTGGAATCATTGTGTGGAAGTGGGCGCCTTCAGGTTGTGAGGGATTAAATGAGCAGAAGAGCTGTGTCTTGGTTTGAAACACAGGTGTCTGCTAAGGAAGGCAAGAGCCTCTCTTGAAAATGGAAAAAATGTAAACCCCCTCCTTTCAAATTATTATAATTTTGAAACTAAGGGTCTCTCTGGCAAATATATGGGAATAGGAATAACAGTTCTTTACTAGGAAAAATTAAAATAAAAGTAAAGTAATACAAAACAACAAAACACTGACAGAATCAGCACACAACCTGACACCCTGTCAGTCAGGGTGTTGGTGCAGTCCCATTCAATGGTGGCTGCATCCTCCTGCAGTGACAGATGTGGTTCTGTTGGAGCAGTGCTCCTGGAGAAGGTGCAGTTTTCCTCCAAAGCTCCAGGGATGATGTAGAAGGGTCTGGTTTTCCTCTGGGATCCAGTGGAAAAAGGCTGCTCTGATGTTCCAAATCTCAGATTTTATCTAGGTAGGAAATGTTTGGCTCCTCCCCCTGGCTGGAACATTTCACAATGGGATGGAAAATTATCAGCCATGCAGTGGGACTCAATGGCCCATTAACAGGAGATATCTCCTGGAGGAAGGATGGGTTGAGGAAAAGATAAAGAACACTGCCCCACCTGGTTTCAACAGATGTATGTATTCTATTACATACTTCTGGCTACATCTTGCTTTGCAACCTAAGACATTCATTTTATTAGTTTGTCCCCGGGCTGGGGTTCACAGACTCCTCTTCGTGTTCACTGTGTCCTGTGTCCAGCTGTTTCTCCTGGTGGTGTATGCTGGTTTCACTGGGGCCAGGGCTGTTCACATTCTGTAGTCATCTGCATATCTGTTATAGCCCTCCCAGCTCAGTCACCAAGGGCAGAGAGCACAGGAAAACCTTATGTGCCTCAGTATTTTATCAAGATATGTGTGTGATGGACTGGTCTTGCTTGCACTTTGATAGCACAGATTATAGATTAAATGTGTTTACCTTCTCTACTGAGTCCCTGTAGTTACTGAGATGTCTCCAAAAACATGTGCTTATCGTGAAGAACTTCTTTCATATTTTAGTCATCTTGGGGGTTTGCATTTTGTTTTAAGAGAAAAAATAACAGTCATAATTTCCACTCAGCAAAATAGCATTTGATTTTACAAGTATGAAAAGTATCAGACCAAACACTTTTATTGGATATCTAAGACATGCATTGTAGTATCCTACTTTAATTGGAATAGCAAATTAATCAAGACAGCAGTTTTCACACATGTTAAGTTTTGGAATTGCATAGGTGGAGATAACATTTTTAGGCATTTTGACTTTACTACCCGTGCTATGTGAAATAGGCTTTTTTATCTTTTTGGTGTCAAGCTTTGGTAATTCTCCAAGATAAATTGGGTTGTGTGGAGAGGTTGAGGCTTCCCCATGCCTGGAAATGTTCAAGGTCAGATTGGACAGGGCTTGGAGCAACCTGGTCTAGTGGAAGGTGTCCCTGCCCATGGCAGTATGTTGGAACAAGATGATCTTTAAAGTCCCTTCCAACCCCAGCCATCCTATGATTCTTTGATAGATCATGATATAGGGTTGGCAGGATATGTCTGTTTTACAGAAGATGAACAGTCTCTCCCACCAAATATCTGACCATTCTAGATACCTTTTACGTTGTTTGCTTTCAAAGTAAATTTTTTTTTTCTCTGTAGGTTTTTAATGATCCTATTCACGGTCACATTGAATTTCATCCCCTGCTGGTTCGGATCATTGACACCCCTCAATTCCAGCGCCTCCGGTACATCAAGCAGCTGGGTGGCACGTACTTTGTTTTTCCAGGAGCCTCTCACAACCGCTTTGAACACTCCCTCGGGTAAGGTGGTGGTGCTGGCACACACATCTCTGGCATCTGGACGTTCCTGAGTCTGGTTCTGCTGCTGTGGAGTGCTAGCCAAGGGGTGTTGCTGTTTGAGTGTTGGTGAAAACTGCTGGGTGGGGCATTTCTGGTCTCAAATGTTCCTGGATATCCTGTGTGTGTTCCCCTGAACTCCTTTTAACAAAGACAGATAAAAAAACCTACAAGATGGATCAATACTAGATTTCCTTCCCCACCCTTTATTATTCTAAGAATAATGTTAGCTAAAAACTAGTCCCCCAGTCAAAATACAAGTTTTAAGGCATAAACTTAGTAAGTGTACTGGGGCTACTCTCATTATCTGCCAGACAGTTGTAATCCCCACACATCATTTGCCTTTATAGGTAGATGTGCTTCATGCAATCAGTGACATGTTGCCAGGCTGATAGCTGTAATTCCATTAAGCAGAAATATGATGGATGCAAGGATTCATAGAGTGCTATTAGCTCCTTCACACTCCTCAGGGAAGCTGAAGGATGACACATTTGAGCTTGTTTTAAGGGTATATCTCAAGGGACAGTGAAATTAATCTAGTAAGTGGTTTTTATTCACGTGATCTGCCCAGCCTAAAGTTGCTTTTGTTGGTGCTGAAATATTGTGGAGCAAATCTGGCTTAAGATTCAAAATGGCTGTTTGCAGAAGGGTCAGATGAATGACACAGCCTGGATTGATTGCATCTGGTTAACCAAAAAGACAGAAATGTGACTGAATATAAACAAAGTTTCCACAACAGAAGTCTGAAAACACCATTTGTTGTCTCAGCAACTTTTCTTTTGAACAATTCCATTGATCTATCGAGTTAAATTTAGGACAGTTGTTCTCCACTTGTTTATAATTTCAAAGATTTCTACAGTGTTACAAATAGAAGAAGTGAGCTTTATGTGCACATTGGTCTAGTAAAAAGCCATCAAATAGTGAAATTTGGACTAACGAAACATACTATTTCGTCATAGAAAGCCTTGTCTTGCTTAAGCTGTTCTGAAAAGGGAACTGTTGAGGCAAGTGGAAGAAGCGGTTTGTGCAGAGGTTATAAACAGTTTATGGGAGTATGTGCCGTATATTTGCTCCTGCTGGTTTTGTGTCATGAGAACGGAGGGTCCCAGTCAATTAAATCAAATCTAAAATGAATGAGAAGAAGAGAAGTAATTGTCGTGAGCTATTATTAAAGTGGCAGTTTGAAAAAAGTACCAAATGCTTTGGTGACTGTTGTGGACCTTTGCAGTTCGCCCTGACTGGAATTCAAGGATTTGGTGTAAGCTGAGGTGCTTCAAGATTCTCACTGTCAGTGGTGCACTACTGTTCCCTTAACACAGCTATTGTGGGGTTGTGTGCTATGAAATACTGCAGGATGATGTAGAGTCTCTGCGTTTTGGGCATGATATCCCGTTTACTTTTTTGCTTTCAGAGGACTAAAACTCTACTACAGGAAGCAGTTTGTGATTCTCTGGCAGGTCAGGGTTTGGGTATTCCTTGTATGCTGCCTCTCAGACAAGGGCTATGACTTAACGCAGCAAAACAGAATAGGGGAACTTCTCTTTTTCTGTTCATCTTAAACCACTGCTATATTTCTTTCTTTTCCTCCTGCACCAGGGTTGGCTACCTTGCAGGATGTCTGGTTCGTACACTGAAGGAGAGACAACCAGACCTGAATATAACCCAGCGAGACATCCTCTGTGTAGAAATTGCTGGGCTTTGTCACGATTTGGGTAAGGAACACCTGAGATGGGTTGTTGCTCTTGGAAAGCTCACCATGATGAAAAGCTGGCTGTGAGGTCAGAACATGTGAGCTGTTTTGGGCTGCTCAATGCATGGGCCATATTCCAAGACAGGTTTTCTCTGTTCTATTTGGTCTGGAGTACATCTCTGGAGACAGTTCCACTTGAATCTGTGGCCACTCTTAGCTAGTATTTTGTCCTGTTTCCAAATGGTGCTTAGAATTCTGCCCTCAGTGGCTGAAGTGTCCACTTCCTTCTGTGATTTCTCCAGGTGTCCTAAAACATTTCAGAATGAGAATTAGTGTTCCTTTCAAAAATTTTAACATTTATTTCATAATTACTTCTTTTCTTTAGAGCTGACACAGAGTAATTAATATTCTCTGTGTTGCTGCAGTACTTGCCTGTGGTGTAGGTGCTGGAACTGGCTCTTAAGTGCAGTAGCATTAAAGTGTACTTGTTATACCCAAGCCTTCCTCATAGATGACACGTAAGGAATTCTCTGGATGGTTGCACTCAGAGAGTTGTGGTTACAGGCTTGATGTCCAGGTGGAGCTCAGTGATGACTGACCTGTGTGGGGACCAGCGCTGTTGGATATCTCTGTCAGTGATGGGGACAGTGGGAGCCATGCACCCTTGGGCAGTTTGCCAGCACCACCAAGATGTGTGGTGGGGTAGGGATGGAGGGAAGGGATGGGGCATCCAGAGCGACCTGGGCAGGCTGGAAGGGCAGAGAGTGGATTGAGAGCAGCCCACAGGAGAAAAACTTGGGGACATTGATGGGTAAGAGGCTGGACAGGACCAGAGGCAACCAGAACCCCCCATATGCTGGACTGATCCCCAGCATGGGCAGAGGTGAGGGGGGGATTCTGCCCCTCTGCCTTGCTCAGGTGAGACCCTACCTGCAGAGCTGCCTTCAGCCCTGGGTCCCAGCATAAGGATGGGGTACTGCTGAAGTGAGATCTTGGAGATGCACGAAGGGCTGGAGCCCCTCTGCCCTGTTGCCAAGCTGGGAGGGATGGGGGTGTTCAGCCTGGAGAAGAGAAGGCTCCAGAGAGGCCTTAGATCACATAAAAGGTGTTCCAGGAGAGCTCAGGGGGACTTGGGACAAGGGCTTGGAGTGACAAGACAAGGAGAAATGGCTTCCCACTGGCAGAGGGCAGGGTTAGGTGGGATATTGGGAAGGAATTCTTGCCTGTGAGGGTGGGGAGACCCTGACACAGGTTGCCCAAAGAAGCTGTGGCTACCTCACCCCTGGAAGTGTCAAAGGCCAGGTTGGACAGCCTGGGATAGTGGAAGGTATCCCTGACTATGGCAGGGGTCTGAACGAGATGATCTGATCTGTAATGTCTGTTCCAACCCAAGCCAGGCTAAGACTCTGTGATATGTCAAGAAAAGTCAAATACAGGAGAATTCAGATTCTAAGCTTGCTCAAGAAGTTTTTGCTGACAACTGTCTCAGACTAAACCTGTGTAATCTTTATATTTAAGGTCATGGACCATTTTCACATATGTTTGATGGAAGATTTATTCCACTTACTCGTCCAGATTTGGAGTGGAAGGTAGGCTTTTCACTATTAAAATGAAAATACAAACCTGAAATTTTTAGAGGCAGATTAATTAATTTTTAAAGAGTTCCAGTGCTTGTGAGGCTATAGTGGTCATCTGGCCTTGCCTTGTGGCATCATTTTGATGGCTTAATTGAAAACCTGAATGTTGTTTCCTAATCTTTTGATGATATCCTTGTTAGGGCTGCACTGATCATTTTTGGCCAGTATTGTGCCTTAAAATGCGTATTGAAAGCTTTCTGCAGAATATGTTTTATATTTGCAAAATATCACCTGCAGGCTTCCTTTCCAGTATAATGTTTTAGTCCAAGGCCAGGATATTCAGTAGTGTTTAGAATTCAAACTTTCCAAAATTTTGAACAGATTTTCAAGAGTTGTTTGCTGTGTATGAATGAAGTGCAACACAGTCCTTTCAGGCCTCTCTGCTTGTAATGTCTTAGCAAACTCAGCTGAGTAAGCTGGTTAATCTTTTACACAGCAAAATTGATTATTTTGTCTTTTAGCATTGTAACTGCCTTGCTGCTGTTTGTCAACACACAGAATTAACAGCGCTCCACTCTAAAGTGTCTTTCTGGACTCTGTAGACCAGGTGATTTCCTGTTCTGTTTAATGCAAAATGACTAGGTGTCTTCGTTTTGAGTTGCCAATTTAAATAAACTTATTTTTTTGTTGTGAGACAGAACCAGGAGCAAAAGAGCAAGGCAGGCCTAAAACTTGAGAGAGTATAAAAGAAAATGTATTAACTACACAAACAAAGAGAAAGGAAAAAAAAAATTCAGAATAAGATTTTTCAGATCACTCCTTCCCTCCCTCTCCCAACCTTCATAACAACAAAACAAACATATAACAAATACTTCGGTCAGTCCCCAATTTAGTCTTTTTCAGTTCACTTCCGGAGAGAGAAGCCTCCTTTTGTTAAAAGCTGTAGGGATTTTTTCCACAAGAAGGAAGGAGACAGTTCTCTTGTGCTTTTATCTTTCACGATTTGCATCCGCCCGGGAACCTGCAACCGTGACACTCCTTCTAACTCCACAGCCGTCCCAAAACTGTAGATGTGGGCCATGTCTGTCTCATGGGGTATTACTTTTAAGAATAAAATGTTCGACAGCAAAGATTCTCTCTGTCTCCTTTCTCTCTGCTCAGGCTTCATCTTCAGAAAACTAAAATCCTCTTCTTTTCTCAGGACAGAAATTCTCAACACAGGTGCTCTTTGGTCAAATCATCTATTAAATTGAATATTTCCAACCCCCCATGTCTTTTTCCATGGTTTATAGGAATAGTCAGTACATCAGTTCATCCCTACAATTTTACAAAAAGATTTTCAGCCATTTCAGCATCTTCTCATTCTCCTTCCGTCTAAAAAACTTAGCTCTTACGTCACTGACTTCAGAAATCTTCTTATTCCCTTTCATATTCAAAGGAAAGGCTGGAGGCTTTGCAAATCTTATCTGAGCACTAAAGAGTTAAAGTTTAACACAACTACAAAAGTTGGGCCAGGCTCAGGCCGTGCTGGGGGGGCAGCCGAGGTGTTAATCAGCCTTTCTGGGGCTGGGCTGCAGCCCCACCCTGCTCATGGCCACTCGGGCAGGCCCGGCCCGGCCGGCAGCAGCAAGAGTCGGCCTCCCCCCACGCCAGAGCCGCAGGCCCGTGGAGGAGGAAGCCGTGAAGGTCTTATCACACAGCTTTTTCTCCCCCCGGCCATCGAGTCCCTTCGTTTGCAAACGGGGCCCAAGCGGCCTCCCGAGCCTCCCCCCCGCATGAGGGAGGGGGAAGCTCAGGTTGATGTTACCTGCTCAGCCGCCGGAAAGACAAAAAGAGTCAGTTCCGGATTACCTCCTTCAAAATGTGTGTTCACGGAGCGAACTAACTTTCTCCAATTGGCTGTTGCAGGTGTCCCAACCCCCACAGAGAAAGTTCCCTTAGGGAGAGGCTCTCTTTCTGAGTTTCTTCTTTCTAAGTCAACCTATCACACTAGGAAAGTAGCCAGGTGCTGCACGTCACACCAGCCTGCCCATGTGCCCTGCTAGGCAGTGCTGGTGACTTGGAGTAAAGCTGTGACACAGCAGGAAAGACGCTTAAACTATGTAATACAGTATTTGGATGGTTTTTTTTCACAGCATGAAACTGCTTCTGTTCAAATGTTTGAGCACTTGATCGCTTCCAATAAACTAGAAGAAGTCATGAAATCGTATGGTCTTGTCCTGGAAGAAGATATGTTGTTCATCAAGGAACAAATAGGAGGGCCTGTAGATGAAACTGCCTGTGTGAAATCGGTGAGTCAGTGTGCTGCTCCTGTGGTTATTCCAAGAAATATCTTTATTTTGCTGAAAGAACGGATAGTTTTGGCTTCTGCCATATGTTACTTCTAGCTCCATGAAGTTCCAGGAATCTTGTCACAATTGGTGCTGGAGGAGTGTTGTGTTTATTTCCTACAGTGCTGGCAAATGTGTTAATGTGCTTACAACTCCCTGAGAATCCTTGCCCAAAAGCCTCCAGATCAGAGGGAAACTCTAGAAAGTTACTTCTATTTAGGGAAACTAACTGGTGAGTGGGATCCACTCAAGGATACTGAAGAATTGGAAGAAGTGCTCACCAAAGTATTTTCCATCATTTACCTGCAGTCCTGGGTGGTCCCAGTTGACTGGAAATCAGCAAATGTGACTCCATGTACAAAGATCAGAAGGATGATCCAGGGAACTACAGGGCTGTCAGCCTGACCTTGGTGCTAGGGAAGGTCATGGAGCAGGTCATCGTGAGTGCCGTCATGCAGCACGTACTAGGGAGTCAGGCCCAGCCAGCCTGAGTTTGGGAAATGCCGGTTGTGCTCAGCTGAAGGACAGGAAGGCTCTACAGAGGAATCTGGACAGGTTGGGTCAATGTGCCTAGGCTAATTGTGTGAGGTTCCACAATGCCAGGTGTTGGGGTTGCTACAGGCTGGGGCCAGGGCACCTGAAAGCAGCTAGGCAGAGAAGAGTTGCTGTTTGGTTGGCAGTGGCTGAAAATGAGCCAGATGTGCCCAGATGGGCAAGAGGCCAACGACACATGGCCTGTACCAGCCATAGCATGGCCAGCAGGACCAAGACAGTGACAGTGCCCCTGTGCTGGGCACTGCTGAGGCCACAACTCAAATTCTGGGTTCAGTTTTGGGCCCCTCACTTGAAGAAAGACACTGAGGTGCAGTGGAGAAAGGCAGTAGAGCTGTGGAAGGGTTTGGAGCACAAGTATGATGAGGAGCAGCTGAGGGAGCTGGGGGGTCTTGGCCTGGAGTAAAGGAGGCCTCCCTCAGTCTGGATAACAAAACTGGCAGTGATGAGGCAGCGAGCAATCCGAGCCTGGCCCAAGTGCCAGAGCCGCAACAGCTTTGATGACAGCAGCAAAATTCTTGGATTTATTGCAGGAGTAAACATAGGGACAGGGATAAGACTTGAAGAAATGAGTTGCCTCAAGAGGCAAGCAAGAAGAGGTGGCATTTGTTAATCGTTTTAACTCTGTGAAAGACTTAAGTCCTCTTCCCTCATTTTACAGCTTTTGTCATCTCTTCGAGGACACTCATTCAGTTGCCACCAGAGTAAAGAACTGGTAGCAGCTGAAGTCAGTAGGAGATCTGTCAGGGCAATCTGGTCCTAACCAGAATTTATATGTAGTCCCAAACAAGTAACCCACAAATGTTCACACTTGCCCATTATTTTCTGCTGCAGGAGTGGGTAGTAATCCCATGGCAAATACAAGGGACTTGGCATAGTGACATTGAGTCTGAGATTCTGTAGGAAGGGGACATTAATTTACAAAATCCACAAACTGATTTTTATCATGCTGGGCTTGTTTGCACACGAATCTTGGTGCCTGCCACTAGCATTGATCTTGTGCCAGCTTCTTTCCCTGTATCTGGTTTGCCTTGTTTGGATTCTGTGCCTGTTTTCCAGCAGGATACCAGAAGAGAAGTGCCACACACAATACATGGCAGCACCCTCCTGGTGTTAGGCAGCAGATTGCACTGGCAGGCTGCGCACTGTGGTGCAGGCCTCTGTCATGACATGGACAATGGGTGTTCAGGCACCAGACACAGTGTCCTGAACATATTCCAGTAATAGAGCTCTTTGTGATCATGGTATTTTTATCCATGATGTGCTTTTCTTCCTGCTGCTTGCATGTGTTTCTATGGCTATTCACATCAGTTTGAGTATTTCTGTAGTGCAGGTAACATGGAAGCTGTGTTTGCATACAATGTTTTCCACTTTCAGAATTTCAGGGCTACTTTATGGCATTTTTTTAGGTGAAGGATCTTCAAATTTTCAAGAAAATGTGCATCTTGTATCTTACTATTTTGTTGTTCATTTCCTATTTACCTTAGGGCTGAATTGTCCTTTGAGAGGTAGGAGTTTAAGTAGCTGACTATTCAAACAAATTTTGCTTAAAACATCTAAGTAAGTGTTTTTAAACTCTGTTCTGTAAAGTTGTAGATCGCAGAAGATTGCAGGACAGTGACATGTTTGTGTATTTAATTCTCTGAGAATTAAATAATTCCAAAATTTCCCCTCTTTGTTGATATGCTTTTTTTTGGTTATGTTTTGGGGTTTTTTTTTGGTTGGGTTTTTTTGTGTGGGTTTTTTTTGTTTGTTTGGTTTTGTTTTGTTTTATTTTTGTTTTCGTGGGGTTTTTTGTAGAGTAATGGGCAATGAATGCTTGTGTTCCACGGGTTTTATTCTTCCCAAGATTCCAAGAACACAGCTCTTAGGCCCTGTTCTGTATTTCTAATGCCTGATAGCTTCGGGAAGTTCCTTCCTTGTCTTTTTGCTCTTCACTACCTCAGTGTTGGGTAGTTATCACAAGCAAAGTCAAAATGTATTCCCACTGTCTTAAAAAAGCTATTTGACATTGTTGGTACTCTTTAATTACCTGTTGTTTCTGATGTTCTTCTTTCTGGTTCCTGTCAGTGGCCCTACCGTGGTCGACCAAAGGAGAAAAGTTTCCTCTATGAGATTGTAGCTAATAAAAAAAATGGCATTGATGTTGACAAGTGGGATTATTTTGCAAGGTACAAATCTTACATTTTATTATTAATTCCTATTGATAAAATGTTACAGTATGTACAAAAATGATCGTATTGTTAAACACTCTGTGGAATATTTCTAGGGATTGCCATCACCTGGGCATCTCGAATAATTTTGACTATAAGCGATTGCTTATCTTCACTCGGGTCTGTGAAGTGGAAAACCAGAAGCATATCTGTACCCGTGACAAGGTGAGCAGCATGTGCAGCCCAAGGGGGTCAGAGCACCTGGGGGCACACAGGGTAGCTGTACTCCATGCCTAGGTCCTGGGGATCCTGCCCCATGCTCCCTTAGCCCAAGAGGGAGAGAAGTAGTTACTGCTCTGAAGGTTTTTCTCTGAAGCTGCTGTTTGGGGGAGGGACAGAGTAAAGCACTGTTGGAAAGGATTTGTGGCAGGTCCTGTCAGGGGGGACTCTATAGACCTGTAGATCTGTAGGATCCTGCTCCAGGTCTGCTGGGCAGGAAGTGGCTGTGGCTGTGGAGAGGGGCTGCTAAAGGGATGAGGGATCCTCTTCTCTGCCTGGGGTCACTGTTGGCACTCTGCTGTCCTACGGTGGCCCGAGCCAGTTCCAAAATTTGGAAATGGTGAAGAATTCTACTTTATGCTGTGAATGGGAGGAGATAACTAATTTAATTAATTGATTGATTGCTTTAATTTTCCTAGTAAGACAGTGGCCAAAGTAAATGTTGATAGGGCTTCTTTGTTTCAGGAAGTTGGAAATTTGTATGAGATGTTCCACACCCGGAACTGTCTGCACCGGAGAGCATACCAGCATAAGACTGGCAACATCATTGAAATAATGCAAGTACATTTTCCTTTCCTTCATTTTCAATTTATTTTTAAATTCTTGAAGCGAGCCATATCCATTTAGAATATTCAGAAAATCAGCAAGATGTGACATAGAATAAAAGCAACTTCTGATTCTTGTGAGAAGACTTAGTGCTTAAAGTGTCATAGAGACTGTGGTTAACGAAGCAAATACAAACTGAAAGAGAGGAGGACAAAAACATCCTTCCACGTAAAATTAAATTTCTCATAAAATTTAATTTAAAAAAAATTACTAGAGGCCTGAAGAAGCATAGGACCAGGGTGTGCTTAAACCATTTAAATTGCTGACAGCTGAAGTCAAATCCTTATCTGCAAGTTAGAGACCACTTAGCTCAAACTGCCTGGTTATTAGAGTAAGGTTACTAACAGAGTAAAGTCATGATTGTGCTCATGTAGCTCAGCTAAGACCTGGCTTTGTGTTTATGTAATGCAAGATTTGTTCAAGACCAATTCAGCTGACTACCTGCTGTTTTACCTCTCTTGTTGTTGTCTATGGAATTTTCCCTGTAACATTATTCTTTTTACTTTTCTTGAGAATCCCCATATATCCCCATATATTTTTTTCCTTAGAGTGTTGTCTGCTGGGTAACTGTTGAGTTTGGTAAAAAGGAATGTTAAAGATTACACAGTACAAGAGTGATTTGGATTGCTTTCATTTCATAAATTTCAGGTCCTGATTTAGGGATCCTCTAAAACTCAGACTAAAAATGCTCAGGTTTGACAGTGCCTACATATGATGAGTAAAACGTATTTTTTTTTAGTTTAGAAAAACCCAGTTCTTGGCTTCCTATAATTATAACAGGCTTTCCAAAAGAGTGTCCAAGCTGGAAATGAAAGCAAGGTAGATGGAAATCTGGAAGAGTTTCATCTTTAGAACATAATATTTTCCCATCTGAAACTACTACATGTTTGTGATGCTTTCCCTTTACAATGCTTTGTACCCTCTCAGCTAACTCGGGAAGCAAGGAGTCTGTAAAAGGGTATGGTCATCTAGAAGAAACTGTTGCACCTGAGGGACCATTTCACTGTTTTCCAGGGTTCTGCAATTGTCTCAGCAGTGCTAAACACAGTCTGAAGCAGAACAAAGTGAATTTGCTCATTCATCTAAAGGTTACATTCTGTTCTGAACCTGTCTTCAGTAAATCTGTCGGAATGTACAGTGACAGCGTGGAGACAAGATGTTGCAGTGTCTGCTGTGTGCTGTGTGCTGGGGATACAGTTTCAGCTGTTGTCTTCTGTTTATAACATACTAATTTGTTTCATTGTGCCTGTTGACCAGTGAGGTGTTTCAAAATTATACTATCCTAAAGTAATAATTTTGTCTCAAACTAGGATAACAGAAGCCTTTCAAAAAGCAGACAGATTTTTAAAAATAAGCGGCTCTGGAAAAAAAGAGTATCGGATTTCTACAGCAATGGAAGACATGGAAGCCTACGCTAAACTAACTGGTATGAGATCTCAGAATTATTTTTTACGTAAAAGAGCATGAGTAGTTGTTAAAATGCCGTTTTTTACTGCCTTTGTGCACAGCAGGTGAGGCAGGCCTTGGCTGTCTAATGCTTATGCTCTCAAATCTTGCTGGGAAAGCAAGACATTCTAGTTTAAATCACTTTCATGTTGAGAGAGAGAGAGAAAGAAGCACCAACTTTATGTCCCACATATGTTCAGATTCAGCAGTGTTAGGAGGTCCTGCCTGTGCCCTGAGTTTGTTTCACTTGTCACAAGTAGGATGTAAGTGACCTCTAACTGATACTAGAGGTGGTTCTGTCAGGTGAAGTACTGGATGTGTGTTGTGGTGTGAAGCTATTCCTAAAGCAAGTTCCAAACAGCTCTTGTGGGGTCTCAGGATTGCTGCCCTGCTTGCCTGCCTCTCCTGGTCTGTGCTGTGAGGCTGTGTTCCCCTGGTTGTGTTCAGAGCTGCAGTGTGGGCCAGGCAACCCTAGTGCTCCAAGGCTCTGTGGTTGGCTCTGTGTGTGCAGGGCACGGGTGCTGCAGGTCCTGCTCAGGGCTGCTCCTGATCACTGGCAGCACCTGTCAGCTACAGCTCACCAGGACTTCCAGGCCAACTCTCCTGAGTTTCCATCACCAAGCCTTAGCTCACCAACAGAGAGACTAAAGAACTTCCATCTTTGGCCCATGGGTGAAGTTGACAGGGCCTGAGGGCGCTGTTGCAGAGAATCTTGTGTGCCCAACCTCTCAGTGTCTGCCACAGCAAGGAGCTGCTTGATGGGGGCAGCTGTCCAGCAAGGAGGGCTGAACAGCAGGGAAAGTGATGCGAGGAATGTACTAGCATCAGATGTACAGCGAAGCATGAAGGATGAGTATGTTCTCCTCTTAAACCTCCTTCCTGCCTCTAGTGCTGTGGAGGGTGGGATTTTTCCTTTCCCTCAAGATTTTGGCTGGGTGATGAGGGGCTGGGCTGGGCTCCTTGCCCTCTCTTGCTGTGAGCTTCAGAGAAGGATGGTCCAGCTGCTGTTTACTGGAGGGAGTTCAGGAGCCCAGCCCTGCCATGGGAGCAGCCACTGAACTGGGACCTCACTGGAGAGGACCCGTGCCATCTGTTCAGGAACCTCCAGGAAAGAACTGGGACTGACCCCGGCTGTGGGAGGCAGCTGCTGCAGAGGAGGGGGCGACCCCTGCCTGCCCCTGCTCCAAGATTTCACTAAACTGCCCCACCCCGGCCTGCCAGGACACCCCGCGGCTCTTGGCACTGCTCCGGAGTCTTTGCTACACTTTGCCACCGCGGGTGTGCCCACTCTGCCGTTCCAGCTGCTGCTCCAAGGTTTCCTGCTGCAGCCCATTTCACCATTTGGAGGGGCACCAGCACCGGGACCGGCTGCTTGCCCTGAGCTCCCACAGCAGCCCCTTCTCCATCCCTCCCGCCGGCCCGCCCGCCATTCCCGTGTGGAGAGAGGCGGCCGAGCTCGCGCCACAGCGCCCCCTGCAGGCGCGGGGAATCATGGCAGCCGCCCTGCCCGGCCGGGAGCCAGCAGCGCCCCTGCCGGCTGTGCCCGGAACTGCACCGCAGGGGAAGGTGTCCGCGGCCTGGACAAGGCTGGGACTGGGGCTCTGCCTCTGCTCGGGGCTGTGCCGGGGCTGCTGTTTGTTTGCCTTGTTATACACACACACACTGGCAACCAACTGCTGCTCCTTCTCCCATAGCTCTGCCTGACAGCCCCAGCACTTCAAAGTTGGAATAATCAGAGGGAAGGGGGTCATGTTCTCCATTCCAAGGGAGGTTCCCACCTTCTTTGGCAGACACCTGTCCTTCAAACAGGACAAGTGCTTGCAACCTGTACACTCCTGAGGCTTGTTTCAGCAGTCCCTGATGAGTGATGCTTCTGTGAAATTGTCCAGTTATGGACCTCTGCAAGTGATGAACCTCTGTGAGGTTCTGCAGCAGAACGTTCCCTGGCCTTCTTCCATGGTAGATGAAGAACCAGGGTTGTTTTTTAATGTGTTGCCTCCTGATTTGGCAGCAAATCATAGTTGTAGTAAAGGTTGAGACAGCAAAGCCTTCCTTGTCACTGCTGCTTTTACACAGGGAAGATGTTCATGGGCTGCCTATTTCCCTTGCATCATCTGTTCTTTGTCTGAAGAGACCTGGTCTATGGTTCCTCATTGAGAAGTTCCATGTTTTGGTTGACCTTGTCCATTAAACCATTTGAAGGTGTTTTGGTAATTGACTCAGAGGTTATTCTGGAGTGTGCTGGGAGCTCCTCAGCCTGGTTGCAGCTCCGGGTGGGCTCTTGCAGGGCTGTGCTTGCAGCACGTGTTGAAGCTACCCAGGTGTTCCTGGCCAGGGAATGCAGTTGTGGGGTGCAGATCAGGCCAGCAGCATCCTGGCAACAGCAGTCTCTAGGACAGGAGTCTCAACAGTCTCTAGTCTGTAGGAGGAGTTTCTGCTCTGAAGCCACATCCAAAGAAACCTCTGTCTTGCTCTGAATGATGGTGGGAGTCTTACTGCGTGTGTCACTGCCACGTGGAGACAGGAGGGGGGATTTTGATACTGTCATCCAAAGTCTGAGAAAACCTGAAGGCTTAATGGCCATTCTTTATGTTTTTTTACAGGGCAGAGTATCCATGTCCTGAGCTAGTTAGTGGTGGAGTTCAGGATAGTCTGCTAAACAAGACTGGCTAAATAAGAGGAGAAAGTAACTTCTAGTGAAATAACAAAGTATGTTGCCAGGGTGAGAATTGAGATAGTTTTTCTGCCAACAGCCATCGTGAATCTAACGATGATTAAGATAATATTGTGACTTCTCATTGTCAGACTTAGTTCTGTCATTCCCTGAAAGTCTTTCCTGAACCAGCAGTTTTTCTGATTGCTGTAACCTTTTGGCCCTGTTTGTTCATTTTACCATGACGCTGGATTGTGACATACTTAACAAAAATCAATGCAACTTTGGCAGACTGTATCTACCTGGAAATTCTGCACTCAAGTTCTCCAGACCTGGAGGAGGCACGAGAAATTTTGCGTAAAATAGAACGACGTGAATTATACAAATTTTTAGGAGAGACTCGACCTGAATCAAAGAAGGAAATTGTAAAGGTAATGTTCTTTAATGGAAGGTTCTGGATTCTGTACCCAAAAAATGTTCTTGAAGTTGCTGACCATCCATTTATATCTACCTCCATGTGAGCTTTGTTTATTTTAGTTTGAAGGCTTGTTTTCTTTTTGTTATTTGCTATTCGAAAAATGGAGTCAAAAGTTTTCTTCCCATCTTTAAGTAGCTGAGCCATGAAACATATAAGAAATTGGGGAAAGTTTTATCTTCAAAGAGTCAGAAGAATGGCAGCAGGTGGAAATTCAGAAGCTGATTATTACAGAAATACTGTCAGGAAAAACTTTGCTGAAAAATACAAAGTTTTATGAAAGACTCTTACAGTCCAGTGATTGAGAAGGTTATTACATCATTTGATGTTCATGAAAATTTCAAAATAATAAGGAACATATTTGCTTTGAACTGTGTTTGTGTGCTTTGCTTTGAGAGTAAATATCAAACTGAATAATGTCTTCTGAATTTCTTGGTGTTAAATTCTATACTAAGCATGAGCATGCATGTACTTTTTCCAGTCTTTTTCATGAGTGCTTTTCAAAGCAGATAGCAGTTTAATTCCTGTTGTCTTATTTCAAAATAATGGTATATTAGATCTCACTTCAGCTGGCTCAGCTCTTTTAATGTGCTCTACTGTGTTGTCAAATCATCAGTTACTTATCCCCAACCTTCAGCCATAATGGTGAAAATTTTCTATGTCTGATTTCCAGAAGTGGATGTCAGCATCTAGAAAGCTTTCATAAAAATAATTCAGCTCTTTAAAACAATAAGGTTAGACAAGGACTACTAGATGTAGCTGTTCATCTTTTTGTTTGAAGAGGTTTGCTTGTGTTCTTTGTCTAAGAAAAAGTAGTGTTAAGAGATTCTGTATTACAAAAGCAGGAGGAAATAGGTGAAAGCAAATATGAAATGGTTGTACATGAATTGTCAAGTTTCTGCCCTTCTGACGAGAAGGCTGGGATAGGTGGCCCAACAAATAAGGAGGCAGGTGTGAGAGCAGATGTTACGAGTTCCACCTTTAAACAGTTCCTTTTAGAAGCTTGGTTAATTAAAGGAAAAGCTCTCATTTTAAAAATCTGGCCAGAGACATTGAATCTTGGGCTGTCCATGGTGTTGTTTTGAATTGAGACTGGATCACTGCTGGTGCTATGATTACGTGCAGCCAGTGCTTTGCAACCCGGGGTGCACAGCTGAGGATTCAGGGAGGATGTTTCCTACCGTGGCAGGAATGCCAGAGGCTCAGCCTCTTCCTAGCCCTGGAGGGGAGCAGTGGCTGCACAGGACAGAGCTGTTTCTGCTCTGCTCCTTCACACAGCAGAAGGTTATATTTAGAATCACAGCATGGTTTGGGTTGGAAAGGACCTTTAAAGGCCATCCAGTCCAGCCTCCTGCCATGGACAGGGACAGCTTCCACTAGACCAGGTTGCTCCAGCCCCATGCAATTCTGTGATCCTCAAGCTAGCCAAAGCCAGGGGAAAATCCCAAACAGCTTCAGAATTCTTAAACTCAGGCTGAGTTTCCAGTTAATGCAAACCAGAGAGATAATTTCGAAACAATGCAAGCACAGACTGGAAGTCAGTTAACACATACACATTCTGATATGGAGTAGAAATAGTTACAAACGGGCTGCTACAAGCCAGTTCCCTCCTGGCAAGGTTTTCCTCCAAGCTTGTTCTCAATCTAAAAAAACATTTCTTTGGTTTCTTGAGTCACTACAAACCACACACATGTCTCAGCTTGGCAGTACGTGTGATTTTTCTGCTCATCAGTTTCCCCATCTCTGCAATGAACAAATCAGCAGCAAAAAAAACTCCCAAAACTGCTCCATGCTGAATTCCTTCCCTCCTGGACAGTCTTCTAACTGCTCTGGGCTGCACTCCCATGAGTCTCAGTTGCTCCCAGGAAATCTTGCTGCTTCAGATCTTGAATCTTCCCCAGAGCACAGCAGCCCTGAATAAAGGCCATAGCCTTTGAATGAGGACTCAAACATTTCAGTGGACAACTGTTCTCCATCTAACTATGCTCCTCTGCTTTGTGTTAGCCTAAGTGTCAGCAGGGAATATTCCCTTGGGGTCAAAACCAAACAAAACCTCTTTTGTGGAGTACTTTTTGTGGGGTGTTTTCTGTAGTTGTCTGTCTCTTGTGTTATTTTATGTTTTACTGCATAGATATAAAAGCTTTATTAGAGGATAAGATCCTGCAGCCCTTCATTTAAAAAGTTCAATGAAAATGTCTAGTGTTCAGCTTTGGGGAACTTAATTGCAACACATTTGTATTGGTAAAATGGTTGAGGGTACTTATTTTTTGTTTTTATGCTTCAGCATTCTGGATGGCACACTCCTGCTCTCCCCCTGCCCCATCATCAGGTGTAAAACTCCTCCATAGACTGGCAGATTTTGGGTCTTCTCAATTGCCTAAGCCTAGTTTGTTTCTAAAAACTGGGTTTTGTGCTAATGGCTATGGTGTACAGCAATTCAAACAACCAGACTGCTACAAGAGTCTTGTCAAGCTGTGAGGAATTGAAAGCTTTAGTTTAAAAACATACTGTGTCACGTGTTGTGTTGCCTTGACCTAGACCTGAGAGGGCATAAAAGTAATCTGAGTTAATCTTTTGGTTTTGTTTCTTTCAGAGTAATATCCTGGCAGAAAGCATTGCAAATTCCAAGCCAAAGAAGAACCCTCCAGACGTGGAGCTAAAGGCTGAGAACTTCATAGTTGATGTAAACACCTCTCAGAGCGGGGTCAAGTAAAAACTTGTGGATTGCAGAGGACTTTGTGTACCCTGGTGAAGGAACAAACCCACAGGGTGTCCGTAGCTGGAGGCCTGGTTCACTTTGAGGGTCTGAGGGCATTGAGCTTCCCATGGGAGGTTTGCTGTGGTGGGAGGGTGTGGGGCAACCTCACTAGGCTGTCATCTGTACACTGCTCCTGGTGACAAACGGGCTCTCCTGTCACTGTCCTCACTACAACAAGAAGCAGTAGAGAAACTCATGGGGTTTGGTACATGGGTGTCAATGGCAGCAGCAGCCTGGGGACCACTGGATGGGTCAGGAAGGCAGGAAACCTGTCCCAGTGGGGGCCAGTGGGAGGAAAAGAGGCACAGTGACCTCCAGGCTCCTGGTGTTGCATACCTGGTGCTGCTAGGAACTTTGGGGTTTGTGTGCTGCACAAAGCACCTGCTGCCACAGCTTGTCTGCAGACAGCAGTGTTGGCAGGGAGGGAGCCTGAGACAGAGCAGGGAGCTGAGGCAGTCTGCAGGTACCACACAGCTTAATCCCTGTTCTCAGTTCATTCTGGGAAGAGCAGGTGGCTTTCCATAGAGTGCATCATGAACTGCTCCTAAAGCACTCTTGCACTGAAGGTTCACTTCACTCGGCAAGACTGTAGCAGTTTACTGAGCTTTAAAAAATTAGCCTGGGCTTTTCCCATCCCAACAACTGAAATTGTAGGGAAGTGGATCCCTGCTGACCACAGAAATGTCGGTGTGCCAGGTCTAAACCTCATGTTTATAATTGTAAGCTCTGCTGCAGCCTCTGTGGGTTGTGTGTTTTGGGGAGGCCCAGGCTGGCCAGGGACCAGTCCACTTCTAGTGCTGGAAACTGGAATGTTTCAGAGCACAACTGGGAGCTGGTCACTGCAAATGTAAATCTGGCAGCATCAGAGCAAGAGGGGGTGGAAGAAACTATGCAAAATACAAATGCCAGATTGTTTTTTTAAGTAATAATTTGTTAATTACTGTTTCATTTGATTACTGTAATTTTCAGGAGTGGAGTGTGTGTGTCCTTTTGTATTTATTGTGAGAAAACTAAAGACAAACATTAACAAATGCCATTTGCTTTGTTTTACATGCAAGGTTATCAGAATGGATTATGGAATGAAGGAACAGAATCCAATTGATAAGGTTCACTTCTATTGCAAGGCTGATCCTCTCAAGGCAGTCAAAATCACTAAAGAGCAGGTAGGATTTTACTTTTCTTCTGAAAAGCATTTTCACCACCTGCGATGGAAGTGATTGCAGTCCTGTGTGGTTGGTTGTGCAGGATTTGTGGAGAGGTGGTGGGATCCATGCCTTGCAGGTCTTCACTGTGTGTTGTAGTATGACAATCTAGAACCCTCATGGCCTTTGCATATGAACAGTTTTTAATTGGAATACACTGGGAATTGAAATATCACAATTGCTTTGGATAAAACTCATGGATTGTAGTGGGGCTTCTTACTGCTTTCCTTTTGTATTCCAAGAAATACTAAAGTTTTTTTCTGTTTTATTTCAAAGGTTTCAAACTTTTTACCCATAATATTTATGGAGCAGGTTGTCCGGGTTTATTACAAAAGTCAGGATCCACATATTATTTCAGCTGCAAAACAGTACTTTGTTCAGTGGTGTATGCAGAATGATTTCACCAAACCACAGGTAACAAATTCATTTATTATATTTCTTGTTTAGAGCTCGTCATCTTCATCCATAAGCTTGCTTTTTCATTAAAAAGTTTGACATTCAGGCCTTGCCTCTGTGGCAGAGGCACTCACTCACTCACCTAACCCCTGGTTTTATCATGGCTCCCATCTGGGCGGGCTTTGGTTTCACTGAAGTGGTGCTGGAGACATCTGAAAGTACCACAGGATCATAAAATCATGGAATGGTTTGGGTTGGAAGGAGACCTTGAAGATCACCTTGTTCTAAGCCCCTGCCATGAGCAGATACACCTTCCACTAGAGCAGATTGGGTAAAGAGCTGCATCCTCAAACACGAGAGGCCACCCAGGAGATGAATGTTCCTAGGTGGGGATACAGGCATGGAAAACTGTGAAAGGCCCGTTCTTAGGTCATCCTTCTGGCATCTGTCTTTTAGAGCAGGTAATTTTATAAGGGCTTTTCACAAATGGATCAAGTGACAGCTCTCCTTGGTTGTAGAGTGTGGTTGTGTCCTGTGAGCACATTGTTGAGGTTCGGGCACATCCACCCTGCAGGCCCTGGCGTGCTGCAAAGCACAGCAATGTGCGTCTCACCTGATTCCTGAGCTTAGGCAGCTGATTGTCTGTGTTGGCAATGCCTGAGCACAGGTCAATGTCTGTATCTCACTGGGATGAGCCTCACTCACTCAGCTGCTCTACCAACCTTGCTTGTTTCAGACAGTGCAAGGCACATCCCAACACCAAGGGTGGGTTGATTACAGCAGTTAATGAGGTACTGTGGTGAAGTCAGAGGAAAGACTTAACGATTCTGTTTGTAGACCAGTGGCCAGGTTAGAGCCTATTGGCCTTCCAGATTTTCTGGTAATAATTTAGGAAGAACTGGACTACCAATGGTGATACCTTCTCAGACAGGGCACTTTTGCCTCCCCACTACTTACTGCAGCAGTTTCCACCTCTGGGATGCACAGTCTAGTATTTATTGATGTACAGAGATTCTGGGACCTTGGATTGATTTTTTTCCTGTTAAACATGATAATGAGCTGCTTTTCCTCTGCTTCAGAATGGAAAGCAAAAGTGAAATAATGTTTCCTGAATTTTAATATTAGGATGGTGATGTTGTTGCTCCTCATCTAATTCCAATGAAGGAAGCCTGGAATAACACGACATGATGAACACAGGAGAGCCTCAGAACCCAGCTGCAAACAAAGGCTTTCTTTTGATCAGTAACAGGTTTCTTTTTGGCACTATTTTGTCTGCTTCCTTAGAAGATGAGTAAATTTGAGCATCAACTCTTCTAAAAGCTGATTGGATGGACTGGAAGAATTCACAGAACAATGCAGAATGCATTTTACAATACAGAATGTTTTAATGTACATACTTAAAGTGCGTATTCCAGATGGACTTCTAAAAAACAACATATTACAACAGAGTAAACTCAGTTCTCATTTAGTTTTGAATGTATTGACACTGTGTAGCAAGAGTAACTTTAAAAATTGCAATTCATTGTTATTGCAAGATTTTACTACTCCGTCTGATCCCTTCCTTAGCTGTGCTATTGCATGATTTAGCAGAAAAAATCCTAACCCAGGTTTGGTGGGGTTTTGGGGAGGATTGGGGTTCTCTTAGTGTCTGAGGAAGAGAGGGATAAGTATGCTTCTGAAAATACAGTGGGGTAAAGAAGAAATTACCAAGGGTGGCATCTTCAAAATTAGAAAACTTAATTTCATTAAAAAAAAAAAAAAAAAAAAAAAAAAAAAAAAAAAAAAAAAAAAAAAAAAAAAAAAAAAAAAAAAAAAAAAAAGGGAAAAGGGAATCTTTTGGTAATCAAAGATTATTTTTCTACTATTCAAAAAGCTGGTGCAGGCCTCTTGCTACAAGTGACCATAACTTTTATTGAAGTAACAATGCATCGCAGTGCCATGCAGCTTTTTATTGTCTTATTATGTATTTTTGATGCATGGAATGCTATCTTTTTTACTGTCTGTCCTGCAAAGCCTGCTCAAAAGGCCTATGGTGTGAGTGGTTGCAGGAAGGCCGAGCTGCCCAGGTGTTTGCCAGGGCTCAGGTGTGCAGAGAGGGCAGTGCCAGCAGGGTTCTGCCTTGCTCTGCCTGTCCTGCACCAGGTGCACCTTGGCTCTGCTTTACACTGTACTGGGCAGATAGGCTCATCAGGAATCCCTCCATTCTTGTAGCCCTGTTCTTCGGGATCTCGTGGTCATCTCTGTGTCATTTTTCTGTCTCTTGTAGATCTGTGATGGTTCTTAGTTTTCCTCTACTGGCACTACTGCTGTGAGTGTCCTGAATGTCTGTGCTGTTGAACAAGTGGCTGAGGAAGACCATTTTCCTCCCATCTTTTACTCAGGTCTAAGAGGAAGGCTGCTATCATTAAGTAAAACCTCAAAGCTTGAAAAAGTCTGCCCACAAAACTAAGAACATAAAGTAAAAGGTTCAGTAATGCTCAGGAATTGGAGCAATCTATAGCCTTTATATCTGGAATGGGGAGAGGGGTTTTGGGCATCTGGCTCAGGCAGTCAAGTGTGGGTGGCCAGGATACTCCTGAAAAATAACCCAGTGGGAAGGTGCTGTGAGAGGATCCTGAACTTCTGTCATGTCTCCTTTGCCCTTTTTATCCTGGGAACTGAAGCTGTTAGGCAGAGGGAGGGAAAATGAGTATCCATGTACTTCTGCTGCTTATGTATCTGTGCTCTTGGGTCTGAAGGTGTAACCTCTGGTGTTCCTGTCTAACAGTATTTCAGGTGAATCAGGACTTAGAAGGGCTTATGACCTCTTTAAAAGCTTTTAAAAAACTTACTATTCCTCAAGAAGCAATATCTTAGAGCAAAGGCATTTAAGATCAAAAAGATCTTAATCTGTCTGCAGAAGATCAAGTATCGTTTTGATATAATTTTGTTCTTGTTGATTTGATTTGTTTTTAATTTGTTACTAACTGTGCACTTTATACTTGGGAAAGATCTTTTGCTTATGTTAAACCAAAAGTTTATACAATGTTCAAGGTTCTGAGATAATTTCTTTTCTCAACATGTTCATCTGAGTCTCTCTAAAGAATAAATTTATAAACAATGATTTTATTATTCTTTTAAAGAATTGCAGTGTGTGGACTTTACTAAAAATGGTTTTACTACGCCATTCCAAACATCCAAGGTGTTACTACCTGCTGTCTGTGGCAGAACTTCCCTCTGGAAGAGTTCTTGTGGGCAGTGGGGCTGGGGCTCAGGGAGGGTCCCACCACTCCTTGTGCACACTGAGGCCACCTGGTCATGCCACACCTGGACAGCAGCCACCTCCAGGGTGGCTCCAGCTCCAGTTGATGTTGCTCCAACTGTTGGGGAGGGAAAGGGAAGGTGAAGTCGTGCCTGACCAACCTGGTCACCTGTGCTGAGATAGGGGAGAGCAGTGGTGGTGTAAGCCTCAGTGTCAGCTCAACAGGGTTTGGGTGAGCAGGCAGGGCTGGAGCAAAGCCTGCCTGGAGGATTGGCTTCAGAGTGGGGGTTATCAGTGGCACAAGTCTTGTGCCAGGGGTGGTGCTGGGTCCAGTTCCAGAAGCCCATTACTGGTAGCACATTTGCAGATGGGGAGACATGGCTGGTACTCCAGAGGGATGTGCTGCATCCAGAGGGATCTTACCAGGCTGCAGAAAGGGTCTGACAGGAACCTCCTGAAGGATCACCACGAGGAAGTGCAATGTCCTGCATCTCGGAAGGATCATTTCCTTCACCAGGATGTGTCGAGGCCACCCACCCATGAGGCAGTGTAGGGGAAAGGATCCAGGAATTCGCTATGAAACCATAAATGTGCAAACAACTCCTCTTTCAGCCAAGTGTTGCAATGGTGTCCTGGGCTGCCTTAGAATGGGTGTTGTCAGCAGGTACAGAACCGTTCTCTGCCCCACACCAGTGAGGCCAGCCCTGGAGTGGTGGGCCCAGAGCTGGGCTGCCCAGTACAGGAGACAGGGACAGAGTGGACAGAGTGCAGCACAGGGCCGGGAAGGTGATGGAGGGACTGGAGCATCTCTGCCGTGAGGAGAGGCTGAGAGAGCTGGGACTGCCCAGCCTGGAGCAGAGCAGGCTCAGGGCATCTCATCCCTGGGGATAAATACCCAGGGGGAGGCTGCAGAGGGGACGGGGCCAGGGACAGCCCCAGGGGCCACGGGCACAAAGTGACACACACAGGAGGGGCCCTCTAAGCTCAGGAGACACCTCTGCACTGGGAGGGTGGCTGAGCACTGGGGCAGGTGCCCAGGGAGGTGGTGGAGTCTCCATGGCTGGAGAGACTCAAATGCCACATGGACACATCCTGGGCAGCTGGCTCTGGCTGGCTCTGGTGGATCAGGGGCTGGGCCAGGTGACCTCCAGAGGTGCCTCCAGCCTCACCCAGCTGGAGCTCAGTGCTACTGGCAGAAGCGTGAAATGGGCCTGAAGTCAGGGGCCCTGTGAGGGGTGAGGCAGTGGTGGCAATAGGAAAGGGTCCTGATGGACATGAGGGTGAAGTCCCCAGAGGGATGGTGCTGTGCAGCCACTTTTAGCAGGTAACATTTGGTGGCACCAGGGCACAGGGACCGGGTGCCCTGAAGGGCTGCAGGGGGCTCCAGACACATGGCACTGGGGATCTGGGACAGTGGCTCTCTGCTGGTGGAGGAGGAGGGAGAAATGAAAGGGTAGAGAGAAAAGGAGTATGAGAGGGTTGTGTTGAAAATAGGGCTGGTCAGTGTAGTGTCAGCCTGAGCCCTGCACCATCCTCTTAAATCCATCCTCACCTATCTCTCTGTTAATCTCCCAGCCTGTGTGGATGTGTGCTGCAAGGAGTAAGTGCTGTCTTCTGGAGAGATGCCACAGGTTGGCCATAGGAGATAGAATCAGCAGAGAAATGATTGGTGAGGTTCAGCACAAAGTACTCAAGGGCTGGGAGGGTGGCTGAGTGTAAAGCACTGCAGGCTGGGGCTCCATGGGATCCAGGCCTCACAAACTAGCAGATTTAGGGACAGGAGCTGACATAAGGTGAGGTCATGGAGTGACACCTTGCCTGGAAGCTGTGCTCCCACGTAAACACATCAAATGCGGTGAAACCAGACAGACCCTCGTCCTCCCATGGAACCCCATGAACCACCCCTGCCTGGAATCCCCCTGTGGGGCTGGCTCTGCTGCTTGGACAGGGGTGATGGACGAGGAGGAGGAGAGCTGGCTCAGCCTCCAGGAATGAGAGGCTAAACCCCATCAGCCAGGCAAGAGACAACAGGTTGTGGAGCTCTGGATGGGAAGGGTTGTTGTCATCTCTCCCAAGGAGGAAGCCCTGATCCTCACAGGGTGACAGACAGAGAGTGTGGACTGTGCCAGAGGGGGGATGGGTCCCTGAAGCAGTTCCCCGGGCTGACCCCCCACTTGCTGTGGTCACACAGCCCGGGCTGGGACAGGACATGGCTCCTCACCCCACACACCTCCACAGAGCCGTTCAATGCTTCCAGGGCAAGGATGAGGCCAGGAGTTTATTGAGGAATGGTGACTGTGCTGTCCCCAGCACTGCCAGAGCTGGCCCCGGGGACAGAGGCTGCCTGGGCTTGCTCAGTCGTACAAATGTCACTGCTCTTGAAGCTTCTTTCTCTGTGTGGGGCCCTGCTGTGTCCAGCTCTGCCACGTGCACTCTTCCTGGGGCAGCTCTGCCTCGTCCCAGCCATGTGGCTTGGGGTTGGGCTTGGGCTTAGGGTTGCAGTAAGGTTAGAGTTACGTTTAGGGTTAATTGTGCAAATGATGCCTTGGGTTTTAGCTTTTATGCCACTGTGGGCCCATGCATACTGGCTCCCCAGCCACATGGCAACACTGCAGGCCTGAGACCCCACTGCTGTTTTTTCCAATCATTCTGCCCCCACCGGCTGTTCTTTCCCCATGAAATCGGGATGTTATCGGTAACAAGTGAAAGGAGGAGGAGGGGTAAGGCTGGTAGCATCCCGCAGGCTCTTCGGGTGATGTCAGGGAACAGCTGTGTCCGACATCAGTCCAAATCATCCCCTCTCTAGCACCTTTTTCCTTGAGTGTCTTTGTTGGGGTCAGGCCAGACCCCACATTTCCAGATCTTGGATGCAGAACTCCTCCTGGTGTGAGAGGGTCTCGTTGTCGAAAGTCTCGCAGGGCTGGCTGCCTCCGTGGTGCAGATCCCCGTCCAGCCACAGCCCAAACCTGCCGCTGCGAAGGTGCCAAGAGCACGGTCAGCTGCGACCCGCCTCCTCCACGGCTGGAGACCTCCCACGGCACCTCCCGTCCTCACTGCTCCCGAAAACCGGGACAAGCAGCTGGCCCAGGCCTGCCACCGCGCCTTCAGGCAGGGAGTGGGGAGTGGGAGAGGGCTGGGAGCGGACAGAGAGCGGGAAGGGAACGGGCATGGAACGGGCAGGGAGTGGGATGAGAGAGGGCATGGAGCGGGAAGGGAGCGGGATGGGAGTGGGAAAGGAACGAGCTGGGCCGTAGCTGGGAGCAGGATAGGAGGGGACAGGGATCGGGAAGAGAGCGGGAAGGGAACAGCATGGAGCGGGCAGTTCTTCCAGCAGACTGTAGGGTTAGGGAATGAAAGCCCAGTGCTGCTAGACAACCCATGCCAGTGTTTTGGGGTTCTAACCATCACCACGTGCCTGGACCCCGCTCCACAGGGCAGCCTGGGTTCCCTGATGGCTCTCATGGCCATCGGGGTAGGGGCCCTCTGAGCTGCTGAATTTGCCGGCGCAATTCCTACCTGCCCCCACCGATCATCAGAAGATTCACATCCCCTTTCACGAAGAAGTCGTTCCTGCCCGTCCACCTGAACACCTGCATGGGGACAGCACGCAGTGGGGACCGTGGGCTAGGGCAGTGTCCCCATCCCCAGTCCTGTCCCTGTCCTGCGAGGACCAGCTGGGGGCTGCAGAGCCTAGCTGGCTCTGCTCTGGCACCTTCTTGTTCCCCGTCTCCAGATGATCTGGCCGAGCCTGTGGATCTGACCCATCGCTGCCAACAGCCCTGTGGGCCCTGCTGGGGACAGCTGCCACCACTAACGCCCCGTCACACACACAGCCCCCAGGGGTGCCAGACAGTGGCTAATTCTACATTCTGCCAGGCCAGAGCTGGGCTGCGACCGCCCTGCCATGCGGAGGGAAGCCGATGACACCCAGCTGGGCAAGGTCCCCCATTCCCTGAGCCTCCCTTCCTGCACACTGCCTGGGATTCGCCTTCTCCCCCCAGCCATGGACAAACCTGGGGGGCTGCTGCCAACCGGGTCTCCCGGCTGCTGTCCCTACGTCCGGCCAAGTGCAGCCGCGTCACCCCAGCTCCCCCCAGCCCCGCGAGGACCCCCAAGTGTGGCCCAGGTACTCGGGTCATGGCCATCCCCCTGCCCCACGGCTGGCAGCCCGCACCTTCAGCTCGGGGCAGAAGGAGAACAGGAAAGTCTCCCCCGTGCCGTAGAAGCCGCTGCTGCTGCGAATGGCGCTGGCGGAGAAGGCACCGAAGGCCTGGGGAGGCAGAAGGGGGAGATTCACGGCTCGGTGTTCAGGGGGGGATCCCAGCGCCAGGACGCGTCCCCCGTCCTGCCGACGGAGCGAGGAGGTGCCCGAGCCCCGTGTGACACGGGGCAGCCGGCCCGGGGAGGGCACGGCCGTACCTGCGCCTCCGTGTCCCTGATGAGCAGCAGGGCCGGGGAGTCCGGCCGGGTCCCGCTCCGGTACAGCGTCCGCAGGCTGAAGCCGTCCCGGGCGGTGGAGTAGAGCAGGTGCCAGGGCTGCTGCGTCAGCCGCGGGGGCAGCTGCGGACCCAGCTGGGGCACAGTGGCCTCAGTCGGTGCTGACCGGCTGAGCATCCTCCCCTACCCCAGCACAAACCTGAGAGATCTTATCAAGAGCCCTCCCGAAACATCAAACATCAGCCCCAAACATCAGCCCTCCAAGTAGCCTCCCAAGGCACCCACCTGAGCATCCTTTCGAGAGGTGGTCTCAAGCACCCTCCCTTCAACACGTTCCCAAAGGGGTCTCCTCAAACCCCCGGCCCTCCCAGCAGTGTCCTGGGATACTTCCCTCAAGCTTCCTCACCCTGCAAAGCTTCTGAGATGGCACCCCAAGCATCCTTCCCCCCGAGAGGTGACTGAGGTGACTGTCCCCAGGCACAGGGGAATGTCGCCCATCTGGCCTCACCCTGGACCATTCCTGGCAGGACAGCGGTCACGGCTGTGGGCAGGGGGCAGATGAGTGGGAGGATGCACAGGGATGTCCCTGTGCCGGCTGGAGGGTCCCTCACCTCGTCCATCTCCCAGTCCCGCAGGATGCTGCTGGGTGTGCTCAGCACCAGCCTGCCGGGCTCCTCCTCGGCTGCTGCTGGGGCTCCCACCCAGCCCCGCTGCCCTTCTCCAGCTGGGTCCTCGTATCCCATGGGCAGGTCCTCGTCCTGGTCGGGCTGGGGGCAGCGGGAGGTGAGCATCCCTGCGGAAGCAGCAGCTCCCGAACCCGCCCAGGTGGGATGTCTCCCATCCTCTGTCAGGGGGCTGGGAGAAGGGGCCCCAAGTCCAAGGGAATAGGCACTAGGCTGAGCCTACAGACCAGCTCCCTGCTGCTCCCGACAGCCCAGGTGCCCTGCCATGCCGTGCCAAGCCGTGCTAAGCCCTGGCACCCCGCCAGGCCGTGCCACCGACACCGCACACGGAACTTTAAGGGTGTATCGCCACCCGAGGGGGAGGAAGAGGTGGAGGACGAGGAAGAGAAGGCAGGGAAGGCTTCGACAGCTGCAGGTCCTATAGAAGGGGTGAAGCCTTGCCTTTTCCCTCTTTGCCCACGGCCAGGCCGACCCCGCAGCGTGGAAGTGGTCGGGGATGTGCCGCAGTCCTGGTGGCCGCTGGCGACAAGTGTCTCAGCCAGCCACACGCTCAGGATGGCTGTGGGTGCAGCCCATGCCCCAGGGCAGGTGGCAAAAATTCCCTGCCCACCACGCTGAGGGGGATAGAGGGGTGAGCGAGTGCAGCCCCGGGGTGCCTGGATCCTCGGGAGGCAGCGACTGCAGGGGCAGGTCCCACTTGTACCCATCAGCCCCAGCATCTCCCCAGCCCCTCACTCTCCCCAGGGCAGATCCCCTCTGTCTGTCCAGCCCAGTGTCCGGCCTGGCTGGTGCCTCCCAGCGCTGTCCCAGCGCTCATTCCTCGCTGCCGTGTGATGGACCTACCAGGAGCTGGTAGCGGACTCGGAGCCCCCTCATTGCAGGTGTTTCTGGGGTGCTGGGACTGCGCCGCCAGGGAGCCCTGGACCCCGCCCCGGGGTTAATGTTCAGCCGCGCCGGCCCCTCCCTGGCCATGGGTGCGTGGCACGGCGGGTGTGGATGTCAGCAGCCTGTCCCGGCTCGTGGGGGTCCACAATGTGAACCCCCCTGCACGGTGCTGGGACGTCTGGGCAGGCAGCCCCCTCCAGCCAGGTGCTTGGTGGCCGGTGGCTGTCACCTCTTTGGCACCCCGGCTGTCACCTGGAAGCGAGTGGAGAGCCCCGAGGCCAGGGGCTGCCCTTGTTTTGGCATCAGCCAGGCAGCTCCTGCCGAGTTGCTCTTTGCAACACAACTATTGCAATGGTTGTAGCAACTGGCAACACCTGTGTGGTGGCGTGACCCTGGCTGGACACCAGGCACCCACCAAAGCCTTTCTCACTGCCCTCCACAGCTGGGCAGGGCAGAGAAAATACAGCAAAAAGTTCATGAGTTAAGGACTGGGTGAGATCCTTTATCAAATACTTTCAGGGCAAACAGACTCGAATTAGAGATATTAACTGAATTCATTACTAACAAAATCTGAGCAGGATAATGAGAAACATTAAAACATTAAAAACAACTTCCCCACACCTCCCTCCTTCCCAGCTCTGCCTCCTACCCTCCAGCATTGCAGGGAGATGTGGAATAGGGGTTAGGATCAGTTCATCGCTTGTTTCTGCTGCGGCTCAGGGAGAGGAGTTGGAGTCTTTTCCCTGCCCCTGGTGCGAGCTCCTCCAGGGGCTGCAGGTGGATCTCTGCACCGCTGGGCCCTCCATGGGCTGCAGGGGCACAGCTGTCTCCCCATGGGCTTCCCCTCGAAATCCCAGGGGAATCTCAGCTCCAGCTCCTGAAGCAGCTCCGGCCCCTCCTCCTGCCCTGCCCTGGGTGTGTGCAGGACTGTTCCTCTCACATGTTCTCCTTCTGCTCTTCTCTGACTGCAATTACATCTGCGCAGTAACTTCTCCCTTTCTTCTACTTAAATCCCCAATCCCCGAGGCATCGCCGACTTCTGTGCTGGGCTGGGCCTTGGCCAGCAGTGGGTCCATCCTGGAGCCATCTGGAGTTGACTCTGCCAGACACAGGGGAAGTTTCTCCCAGCTTCTCACAGAAGCTACTCCCCTAGCCATCCCACTACCAAAACCTGGACACACAAACCCAGTACAGGAGGCTCATGACCCTCACTCCGAGGGAGCCAGCTTGGGACTGGCAGCTGAGGGAGGGAATCGCTGGCTGAGGGACCTGCCAGCCTCAGGTGCCTCTGAAGAAGCCCCTGCAGACCAAGGAAGAGGTGCAGTGCCCTGGTGTGGCCCCTTCTCACTGATGGCACCCTCAAACCACTCAGCCTGGCTGTGAGCCTGGGGGTCCAAGGGCAACAATGCTCCATTTATGCCAATGGCAGCACGTGCGTGGTGGCACGATGGCCTCGACTCCTAGCTCAGGCCCTGGGCCCACTGCAGGCATTTTTGGGCTATTCCTCATCTCCACAGCAGGCCCACTGCAGCCGTGGTGGGCAGAAGCTGTGTTGTGCCCACCAGTCTTTGATAGCAATGGGAGTTTGGGGGTTCCTGGCGCCTGGCATTTGGTCAGCTCTGCTGGCCCCAAAAACTTCCTCTGGGACCCTGGTCAGGAACCAGGACAGGGCTCCCAGTCCCTGCCTGAGCTACCTCAGCATGGCAATCCCTGTCCCTGCCCCATCCTTCCATACGCCTGATCGTGATTCTGCCCCTGCCCTGTTCCTTTACCCCTTCATTCTCTCTGCCCTTGCCCTTGTACCTGCCCCTATCTCTGCCTTTTCCTTTTCCCTACCTTTGACCATGCTCCTGTCCCTCCCCTGTCCCAGCACTGACCCCACAACCTTCCTCAGGACCGCTTGAGTCCAAATTTGGGACTTGCTCCTTCAGAATGCAGCCCAGGGGGCTGGGAGTGGGCATTGCCCAGGAACAATTCCAGCTGCTGCACAGACAGGGGCACTCCCTGAAGCCTCAGCTCAGTCCTGCCACCTCCAGGCACCATCTCTCTCCTCAGGGTTGTCGGCTTTATGGAAAGGGGGGCTGTAAAATGAACAACACCCTCCAGTTAGTCACCCTCTTACTTTCTCTTACAGCGCTGCCCAGTTACCTGTCCATACCTGGCCTTCCCTAAAGCTAGGGGTGTTTCAGCCTGCCCCAAAGACAAAAAGTCTTTTTTGCCACTTGTTCCCCCCCCATCCATGTTTGCTTTCAAATCCCCTCCCACCCTCTCCATGTGACTCTCAGTGCCCCCCACACCTCCCTCATCCTCCAGTTCCCACAGTCACAGAGCACACGAAGTGTTCAAAACTTGCATTTATTTCGCTCCTTGCCATGCCCCGCCGGCCCCTCCGGAGGTTCCCGCCGGACCTGCCCCGGCCGGGGCTGCCTGGGCGCGGCTCCACCCTCAAAGCGCTGACAGCAGTGCAGTAAGGCAAAAGTTTGAATTGTCCGGAAAGAAAGGAGATCTGTTTCCACACCTGCCTGGGCACATCCATCCCTCAGCTGCTCGGTACCAGGTGCAGTTTGGCCTCCATGTCACATTCCTAACGCTTCGGATGTACCGTGGGAGCAGAGGTGACGCTGGAGGTTGCTGTCACACTCTGGTCACCGCATCTCAGTGCGACCACAGCCAGCAGAGCTGGTGGCTTCACCCCGAAGTGTGACATTCAGGGGGCAGCATCAGCAGCTCCGAGGTGAGCAGGTCTGAGCACAGAGAGGAGTGGGGAGACCGGGGAGCTGATTTAAGGGAGCCCCTCTGCACAGCCATGAGCCCAGCACTGACTGACACAGGGGTGACACAGACAAATGCACATCCAGTCGTGGTAAGCAGCTGTGCAACAACTCCGTAACAGCAGTGGCCGAGACTCCTCCTGGATTTGGTCTGGGGCCTTAAAGGGAGATTGTGACACCTCCTGGTCCCGGCTGCTGCCCCAAGTGATCACAGCAGCACGGTGCGAGCCCAGCACTGCCAGGCTTTCTCACCCAACAAAAACTGGGAGCAGTGGGAGTCCATGTCCTCAGTAGTATTCCTTCTGAGACCTGCAACGCCTCTGTGCTGCTCCTGACATGGCTGTGTTACTCCAATTGGATAGAGCAGTTTCTGGTACCCACCCTGCCCCTGATCCCATCCCAGTTCTGGTTCCTACTTGTGTTTGAGTGCTGAGGTTACCAGGTGTGGCAGCAGCTCCAGCTGTCCTCCAGGGTCAGCATCCTCGGTCACCCAACGCTTTCACAGCACCCACTGTGACTGAGCACACGAGATTCTTCCAGATCCCTCAACAGCAGAACCACCAGGAAATGGAATCTGCAGCCAGAGCTGGGGCACCAGGTACCCAGAGATTGCCTCATGCCAAGCAGGAGCATTACTGGTCAAAGCAGTGAAGGGGAAGATCCCCGGAGAAGCAAACATCTCCAAGAAGCAGTGGTGGAAAACAGTTCATTGTCTGAGCTCCAGCCTTGGGTTTAGCTCAGACACTCTTGTTCCTGCTGGACTGGCCAGAGCTGATGGCTGAGGTCGCAGTGAAAAGCACAGCTGAGGGGGGAGGCACTGCAGCTCTGACAGTCTGTGCTGAGCCTGCAGCTCAGGGGGGTATTGCCAGAACCTCAGCCCCTTCTTCCAGTAGGTATCATTCCCAAAGTCAGGCCTCATTCAGGGAACCTTCCTCACCCACCCCAGGTACCCCAAGCTTTGCACGTTCCTCAGAGTGGCCCATGTCCCAGGAAATGGTGCTACAGTCCTTATTTCAAAACCAGCATGGCCTCTGTCCCGTCCTGCCTTGTCAGATGCAGTCCGTGAGTGAGGTAGTATTCCCGCCGGAGGAAGGCATAGAAATAATCCGAGATGAGCAGGATCTGTGGAGGGAGATGTTCAGACACATCAGTGGTGCTCCAGAACAAGGAATAAAGAGGGACACACAGTGCTGGTGACAGACCCTGTCAGGGGTTAAGCAGCTCCTGGGCTCTTCAGCACATGCTGCTAGAAGAGCCACTGTGACCTTGGGAACACCTTAACCATCCCCTTGCCATGTCAAACCAAGGGAGACTCCATA